AGCCATGTACAATGAGTATACGAGGATCGGTACGCTTCCATTGGAGTCAATCGTCACTTTCTTTAGATTGTCAACACCATGATCGTCAAAGGCAGCACTTGAAGAAGCTGCGTAGTGGTTGTGAGGTTGTAGACCCAAAAGTACAAGCTAGTAATTAAAAATATGGTTGGTAATCGTTATAAATATTAAGCACTTTCATATAAATATATGTATATTTCAAATTAGTTACACTATATTTTATAGCACATAACCAAATGAGTAGTGGTTGGTCATCATGTTGTCATTGCAGCACACTTTATAGCTTAGGAGGGAAATTGCCACAGGCGCTAAGCCCCATAAACATGTGACTGAAAGGATAAAACAATATATATATATGATAATATATTTATATATACACAAATACATTTTGCAGTAGTACTAATAGTGAAGTCTGCAAGACCATTTCATCATATAGGGTCAATTGAATATCATTTCAAAGCACTTACTCACCCTTGTAGAAGCATTTCGGCACAATATCATGAGCAAAATCTTATCTATTTGCACCTTGCTCATAAGCACGTTGTTGTGCATGGTCTGACCGCGTTCTACCCGAAAATTATCAGTACGCTGAATACATAGAGTGCATTATATAGGTGTAACTAAAAGTTATGATTTTCAATTAAACTCACCTCCCTATTGTATATTTTATGCACCAAGTTTGTAGGATTATTTATGTTCATCGCGTTTCTCGTGCTGCAGAGCTGTTTGTTCATTTGTTGCTGCTGTGCGCTGCTGCTAGCGTCATCGGAATCATCTGAACTATTTTCAGCCGTAGAAAAATCATCATCTTCTTCGGAGGAAGCTGATAGTGATTCAGCAAAAGCATTGAAATCAGCTTCCATCGCACAACTGATTAGCTTCTTATTGAAACCACCACAATCACCTCTACCAACGATTGACCACCGAATACAGACTTACAATTTCGCCTTCACTTGCTCGTTCTCCTCTGACCAGTCTTTGGCTAGTCAGCCTAATCAGACCAGCTCGCTTAGTTTCTTCAATTCACGGTCATTTTCCAATACAGCCTACTTAATTCACTGCTAAAATCTTCGCCCTACAGTACTAAAATCTACAACGATTTTGCTGATGCTGAATCCGTTTATTTCTGCAAAAATTATTTTTCTTACTATGGTCGCAGCCAAACGCACTAAAGTGAAATAAAAATCTAACAACCGCAACGTCGCCGCCGTTGTCGCTCTGTTTGTCGGCATGGCAGAGACGCAGTAACTGTCAAAGATAAGTGAAAATATAAACAAAGCCATTTGATCTTGTGGTGAAAGTGAAGGCAAAGCTCAGTTGACAACTATTTTGAAAATCAGCTTGTTTATTGTCCGGTGTGTTTCAGTGGTTGCCATAATGCTCTTATATAAATCAAATTCTGTAACGATTAAATTTGTTAATCGATAAGTTTAAGTTTCTGAAAATCGCTTTATTTTGCGTATTGTTGGGAAGTACACATTTTCGTGATTTTCTACAAATAAAGTAACAAAATACTGATCTATACTGGCAAAGGTATATTATGATCTTTAAAAGGATTACGAACATTATAAGGCTGATATAATATTTAATATATGTATCAGGCATAAATATAACATTTTGTTAGTATTGTGACGCACACGGATGATAGAACAAAATCGAAACGACGATATATTGTCAGAATCAACTAGACATCAATTCGTAGTTGCAGAATGTTTTAGTGGCGAAGTTTTGTTAAAGATCTTACTAAAAGGGCTGCCAGATTGTGCAGTAGACACAGTTCTAATTAGAGTGCTGCCGTGTTAAGAGCAATTGAGATTGTAAATAAAGTTGTAAATTCAGATAATGAGTTGTTACGCGTACGCTTGGATTAGAAATAATAAGTATATAGCCATTAAATTGGGACTTTTATTTATCAATCTAGTGATCGAACTCAAGAAGTGAGTTACAAGGTAGACGATTTATCGAAGAATCCTTACAATATATGAATTATTATAATGATTAGATTTCAGTCGAATATGGACCGTTTTCTTTGTCGCTGACCATTCTAAACTTTCAATTAAGCATGGCAATGAACTTCAGCCTTATATTTGCGCGTTAAAGTTCCGTGGCGAATCTAAGATTTCTTTCGGATTTTCTGCAATCAGACAGTTTACCAGTTCCTCAAACTCCACTATTAATTTTATGTTTACAGATGTTGTTGTTGTTATAGAGTAAAAGCATCTCTGAAGTTGTCAACATCATCTATGTTGTTCTAACATTTGATAACTAAATCGTTTCTAGAAACGCTGATGAGTGTTAACCCAATTGTTCTATAAAGTAAGAAAACAAATTACTGCGCAAGGTAAATTTCTCTCTTTACTTATCTAGAAACTTTTCATTAACTAATTTTGTTACTTCAAATGTTGTGGTCCGGCGTTAGATGTTATCCATAAAGACCAAATTTATTAATGGATTTGAGTGAGAAAAAGTCGTTATATTTTTAGCAAAAAACTCCAACAAACTTGGCTGTCAAAAGCTGATAAAACACTAACGTAAATAGGATGTTTGGCATTTGAAAGCCGAGAATCCATATTCTGGCAAAATTTTGATTTAGATGAAGAGGTTATCTATTTTTCATATTTTACTTGAAAACGTTCTTTAATTTTTTCAATAATAGTCAATATTTTAACAAAATCAATATTAATGTGAGAATAATAGCTTATCTAATTATAAATAAATAAATATTATATTATATTTCGTATACATAATTCTGGGCTTCTAACAAAATCTCAACCACAACAGTACTTAAATCTAGGCGAGTACATATTTGCTGGTGAAACGGTTGTAAAAACTTCCGCTCCTGCTTGTAACGTGGACTCGATGTACTTCGGCGCTTTAGTAGGTACAAATTGCTCTCTATTCTTGCCCTTTTGTGTTTGTATCTTCTTCTGCCAAATGCCAGCCAAACCTCTTATAGGCATCGTATTTCATCTGTGGGTGCAGACGAATCTCCGTTCATAGCTGGTAACTCGGGTAGTGAAGGGTAATTTTGGGTGAATCGTAAATTATCAATTGTCTGGTCTAAATAAAAAATTTTAAGTTAAATAATTGATTTTAGTTACACTACGAGCTTTTGTTTACCAACCTTTCTAGCTTAGTTAATATCTTAATGGGCGCAAAAGCAATACGTTCGGCAAGAACTGATTTCGCCTTCGTAGTTTCAGTATTAAGTTTCAGTCTTCTTTATACTTGTCTCTCGTTCGTCAACGTCCGGATTGCAGTCGTTTTGTAGCAATTAAAGTTTCGTCGTCTCTTCGTCATAGTCTTCGGCCAATATCTCGTTATTAAGGTGTTTACCCACAACATCAGGAAGTCGGTCACACTTTCGGTCGTCGTAGTCGTGCTTTCCTCAGTATTGGTCGTCCCTATTTTTGTTCCAACGATTTAGGTAAATATTCTTTGCTCAGCGTGTCTATAGTTGTGTTAAGTACGGGCAGCACGTAATTGTCGTCCAACATTTAGTACTACAGTTCTTGTTAGCAGTTAAGTTCCGCAATTCGTTCTCTTTCGATTTAATCACTGCTTGTATCATATGTTCAGGTCTCATGTAACCGTCTTGGTCAAATTTTCACTCAAATCATCATCATCCCTATAATAATAATCATCGTCATTGTCGTCGACGTCATTTTCGTCATCCGTCGAGTTGTTAGTCAGAATTGGTTCGAGTGTGCGTGATATGGCGATTTCGTCATAGTCCTTGATAGTAAGAGTATGTTCAAAATTTGTTTTCTGCTGTAGGGTAAGTTCTGTTGGTGACTATAGTAGTCATAAGTGCCTTGTTGCGGTCTTTTATGTGCGCTTGAAAACGGACTGTTTGTACTTTCCTGTGCGTATTACCAAAGTATGTCTGCCCACTTGGGAAGCCACTGAATGTTGCGAGCTTAAGAACCCTGTGTTTGGCCCTTGGTTAAATGGTGGATTTCGTGACGGCAATAGGCGTAACTACCTCCATTGATTTGATTTGGCGGCAAAGGAAGTTGTGACTGTCCGACTACGTTGGGTTTGGCCGTATATTAAAACTGAAAATACTATCTCCGCCATTCGCTTGCGCCACCGATAATGGCACCAAAGTTCCCAGTGCTGATTGCACTACTGGTCGCCTGTACCACGCCACTGCTCGCTACACCGCCACCTGACTCAGGCTAGCAGCCGATGGAACGGCAGGAAAGGCTGTAACACATTCTGGTTCGATGGGCGTGGTACATAGTGTGATATGGAAGATACATCCGTGTTCGTCCGGAAATTGGTTACTCTCATAAATATTCGAGACACTAGCTCCATAATTCGCATGCTCTTTTTGTGCTGTAGTACTGTGTGGACTCGGTTGCTGTGGCCTGTTATTGTTGCCAAAACCGCTGGTCGCGAACGATAGAATATTTGAAAAGTCCCGGTGCGCGTGTCGTTGTTGTTTAACGGTCTTCGTGTTCATTAATATAAATGACGGTCGGGCTTGGTGCGTCGTGTTTGTACGACATTAGCCGATACGGTGGGTGTGTTCGGATAAAAGGCGTTGGCGATATAGTGCTCGAGTAATATGTGCCCACATAACTGGGTGAGAATTTGTCATAATGGAATGGTTTGTACGGACTCGCCGCGGTCGTTAAGGGTTGTACTGAAAGATGATTGCTTTTTGTTTGTCGTATGTTTATTTCGATTTCGTATTGATCTGAATTCGGTCCGTTGACTACAACTTTCTGGGTCGTGTGTAAAATGTGGTTGCGTTTGGATTGTCTGAGTTCCACTTGTCGAGAAGTGGGTCGTTGTGGTCAAATTCGTAAGCGCGTTACAAAATCGTTTTCTGAAGCCCGCACTTTTTGTCGTTTTGTAAGATATCTAATTTTGTCTCATTATTCCGGTTCGGTACTTTAACTACAATCAATTTTCGATTCAGCTGAGGTCTGCGTCGTCTTAAACTTGTAAGTTCGTCGGTTTCTTGTAGTCGTTTCATTGGGTTAAGTCAGCGGTATTGGGCTCATTGTCAAAATTTTGTGTTCTGTAAAATTGTTTTTGTTGTCGGCTCCTTCACTTAGCGTAACGTCGTTTGTTTTTGTAGTTGAACGCGCTGACTTTGTAACGGTAAGTTTGCCGTATCTGTCCACGTACTGTCTTCATTCTCCTTGTTCGTCTGAACTTCTGTTGTCTGCATTTTGCTGTCTTTGGTAGACACGTTATTCGTCAAAACTGCGCTAAGTTCTGCTCGCCGTCTGATAAAAATGCCTGTGGGCTTCAGTTCTGCCATCCCAATTAGTAAGTGAGTTATTATCTGCACGTTCAATGTCTGTTTCTATGTCTCTGTCGATTACTAACTCCTTTTCACCATTATATTGGGTTTCACTTTCATTACTGAAATGTTCTCTCAGTATGTTTTCAACGTCTTTTACGTTTGTCTTTGCTTCGGTATTACTCGAAGTTCCTCAAGGAATTAAGTTCTTATTGGATTGTGAAATCTCACTATCTCTGTCATCAATATGTTCATCTACATTTTCCTCATGGAGAGTTGGTACTTTTGCGTGAATAGTTTCGTCAGAGAGAATGTCTTTAATTGAGGCGTAACAGTATTGTTAATAGTGTCAAGTGATTCGGCTCGTACCTCCAGTTCAAACTTTGATTGTCGTGCATTGTCAGTTGCTATGCTGTCGTTTTGTCAGAGATGCTTGGTAGTAGTAGAGTTGGTAATGGATCGTCTATAGAGTTGTTGTGGTTCGAAATAATCGTGGTTTCAGTTTCTTCTGCATTCTTTTGGTGATCTCTTAAGAATTCGGCAACTTTTTCGGTTGTTAGTAGTTCGTTAAGTTCCGTTTGCGTTTCAAGTTCAATGTCATCTATACGTGCTTCCAACTGCCCGTCGGTCATGCTTTCGGTTTACTCTGCGCATTTGTTGTATTCATCTTCCCAGCAGCGTTGAATCGAGTGTTGCCATCCGTTGCGCTTCGCAGTTCGACAGGTATATTTTAACAATTACATGGTGCGTCGGTTACCTTGTGGTCGTCGTATGTTTACCCCACGTATATTAAGCGTAATTTTCGTCGGATTTTTGTCAATCTTATTATTAATGCCCTTGATTGGTTTCGCAGTCGCAATTGGTCGTTTAGCAGATGTCCCTTTTGTCGTATGTCTAATTTGTCGCTAATACGAATTATCTCACCCGGCACCTTAATTTGAGTCACAAACCCATTTGCCGAGTTCTTATTGACCACGGGTCGTTCACGATTTGGAAAGCCTGCCTTATTCTCTTTCACTACTTGTACGGAGCCAGTCGGTATGTCGTCCCTAATTTTATCTGTGTTTATAATCTCAAATACGCGATCCGGTTCCTGTGCTTGTGTTGTCGTACTAGTTGCAAAAGGATCCTGTTCGATCATGGACTCAAGTCGAGCGGCGACAATGTGCCGGTACCACAAATTTGGCGTTTATTACCCTAATTCCGGCGGTAACAAAGCATGTGGCTGCATTGTACCACCGCCAACAGCACGACAAAGCACTGCGCAAGTGAGACACGTCTTATGGATTGCAACTGTGCGGGCGTGAAAGAGTTTTCGAAATCACCATTCTCGTACCAGAAACGATCACCTTTGCGCGAATTACTGAACTGCTGTGCGATGATACAGGCAAATGTGGGACCGACGAGTCCGCTTACGACAGGTCGTTCGGCAATACCGCCAACAAGAGTCAATATCATGTACGCTGCGATAGGCGTGACTAATGCGTTGCGCCGATTGTGGGCCGACCACATTAGCAAAGTCCTCCCAACTATTTATGGGCGTAAGGCCGCAAGGTATACGCCATGACGTGTAGGTGCACACCATGATCACGACCGCGCTGTATGTTGATGGCAGCCAAATCCAAACCGAATGGAAAGCCTAAGAAAGAGTAACAGTATAGTGTTTAAAATATCGAAAATTAAGTGACATGTGATGAATATACCTGGTGTTTGAAAGAGATGATTGGTCAGCTCGGGTGTTATGAATTCATCACGTTTCAGCGCACGCTGATTCACCAAGCCACGTATGAGGCGATGCAATGAACCGGGCGAGCCAAATCACCACGTTGGAACTCCTCGTGTAGACTGACATCTAAAATCATTGCAAACTCCAATAGTTTTCACAACTACAACATAAAAATTTCGAACTCTCACTTACTATTTCGCATGAAATTGTGAAAACGATCGCAGCGCATATAAGAATTCTGCACCAGCGAATGACCGAAACGAAAAGCGGCGGCAGCAAAAGAATTAGCGACCGTTGGATTCGTCTTCGATCATAACCCTGATAATAGCCACTGCTCAACAATTCTAAATCAAAGAGTCTACACACTCACCACCCAACACAATAGGCAAAACTCCCTGTATGTGATGTGTTGAACATGGCGCCCACAATGCGTCGCGCCTCCTGATAGATCTTCTCATCGCTCCAGTGCAAATTCATTTCGCTCAACTGCAACGCTATGCGATTATGCTCACCCACCCAAACGTGATGTAAAGCCAATAGACCAGGCTGCTCACCGCTGCGTCCATCACCTGCGCGTATACACTGCGTAGCTATTGCACCGCGTTGACACACATCCTCAGCAGGATTGCCGCGCCCATAGAACAGCAAACCGTTGCGAAAACACGTGCATTGTCGGAAGACTTGGCGCTGTTCGAATATATTGGTGATGCGTCTATATAGAGGTGGCCTGATTAGTTTGCTCGCGCCAAGAGAGATGCAGTCGCGACGCTGCGCAGGCGCCGAACGCAGAAACTCCAAACAGCGCACTTTAAGTGGCGCTAACCATGGATCGTCTAGCGGCACTTTAATAGGAAAGCAGGATGGGTGGAAATCAGTGTTGCCGCAGCAACTTGGCACCGAACCGTTGATTGAGCTGCGTAGGTGTAAAAATTTAGTTAGAGGTTAAAAATACGTGTGTTTTATATTTATAGACATGCTTTACCGCGGTTGCGCCGTGGAGGTCATATCGTGATCAAGCAGTTGTCCCCATTGCGCGGTCATCAGTGTCACCGCTGCTTCACCATCGCGCGCACCATGCACCAACAGACTGACGAAGCGCGATGATGATAACGGTCCGCCCTCAATGGACATGCGTATCGAGTCGACACCGTCGCCATACTCCGGCGCAGAAAGCGATTGAACGGCATTTGCGAGGCACCCCAACGCGGACGCCTCCGGCTGTTGCAGGTGCCATCGTGTGTGCGGTAACGCGCCGATGCAGGCATACATGTGGGCGGATCACGCGGCGGACAAAGTCCTTCCAGTGCCGTGTGGCGCAATGAAATCTTCAGGTGTGCGCCTGACGTGCCAACTCATTGAAGTATTTGTAGCTGCAACAATGAAGCGAAACTTTAATGCGATTTCATGTAATTTCCATTGGAGGATCTACACGGTAGTTAATGGTTTTATAATTTTTATTTTGCCTTTTGAAAATTAAAAGTTAATTGCTGTTTGCGCACGCGTGATACTTTGCGCTTTCGGCGCATCATTTTCGACGCATCGCTGTGAGTGTTCCACTTGAAATGAATGGAAATCGTCGATTTGTCTGTATTAAGCGCCCAGCTTGCTATTGGTCTACGCCATTGCCATGGCAGTCAGTCGTCGCCGCGTCGTTAAAGAGTCAGTCCGTAAGCAACAACAATGGCAACACAATGGCTGTGCGTTGGTGCTGAGAAAGCTCTGTGGCGACAGCGCCAGCTTAGTGCGCAAACAAGCCGCAAACAAGTTCGAAATGCTCATCACCTGCCCTCGCCATATATTCGGCTCACCTCGTGTGCCGCCAGCGGCCACATACAAGTTCCGTTGCACGCCAATGGGACAGCAATTGCCTACACCAAAACGTCCGCCACAACAGCTGCGGCCAGCTGCATGCGCATAGCGGCCATTAAAATCGCAGCGTTCGCACTAGCAACCAATTCATCGTCGCTTCACTTTTTGTTTATTTTATTCATGCTTTTGCTGGCTAATGTATTTATTTATGTCTATTAGTTATATTCATGTTTATTTTCTGTTTGTTTTCCTGTTTTAACGATCTTTTTGGAAAAAGAAGTGGAGAAAGTGGAAAAGGCTTTTCAATTGCAAAGCTCGACCAAATAATTAAAAAGAAAAACAATAAAAACAGTTTTCATTGGGTTCATCGTGGTGTCGCGGCGACTATGGTAGTCTTGGTGCCGTGCAAGTTGCATCGTCACGACTCGAGCCGGTTTTGACATCAAACGAAAACAAAAATGTAAATAAACATGATTTATAACGGCATACATAGTATAGGCATTTATATTTAATACTACATAGTAAAACGTTCGAGTTCAAATGCACGTATACACTAAGCATGCATGCATACGTATGTACAAATGTATGCACGCTCTTTGCGGTGTCGCATTTGCCCTTTAACATTTCAATAGCAAATGACAGATTCGCACGGAGTTGCAAAGTTCAATACACCACAAAGCGTTTTCATCTATAATTTTGTACTGTTTTTTGGTTTATAACGGTTTTTTATGTTTTATAGCATTATAAACTCTTAGAAACTTGCATATATTTGTATTTTGAAGTACGCGGTTTGTATATTCAATTCTCACGAGAAAAGAACCGATAAAGCGCTTCGTCGGTTCGAAGGGTATTTTTAAAAACCAAACAACAAAACCGTTAACTTCAGTTGCACCGAAGCTAGACCGGCTAACTGTTTACATTCAACGGAGAAAGTTTTCTAGTTCTTTCTGGCCGCGTTGTTGATATATAATAAACAACCATCAAGTTGAATTAAGGTTACTAAAAAGGAGAAAAAATCGTTATGCAATCTCCATCTTGTTTTTAAGCTGACAGTTTGTATGGCAGCTATACGCTATTATGGTTTGTTTTGAACAATATGTTCGGACATTCTAGCCTTATCTTTGATAATAATCCAAGCCGAATTCGTAACGATAATTTCTGAAATTCATACAATAACTTCATTGATAATTTTATATAACAGTAGCTTCGTTGGGAGAAAAGTGTGCAAATTTCAGATTCGACATCTTAAAAACTGAGGCACTAGTTCGCGTATATACAGGCAGACGGACATAGTTATATCGACTCAGCCCGTCTCGCTGATCATTATATATATCAATAGCAGACGTGTTAGGATAGTAACATATGTATGTAGGTTAGGAAAGTTTTATGAAGAATATTTACTTCAAAACAGTAACAAATTTCAAAATAAATAGTTTTAAGTAATATCCGTAAGAAGAAAATAATGGATGTATCAAAAGTAAAACAATGTGTACAACAAACTATCCTTTATGACTCTTCGTACAGATAAGTATGTATCGTAGCATAGCAGTCTGAATGCTTAGACACTAATACACACCATACATATGTCTATAGTCTTCATAGTTTAAACTATACCTATGCTATCTTAGAATCTGATCTCAGCGCCATTTACCAGGTGCAACTGAAACTCAAATATACTTTTGAATATCTGACACGTAAGCAGCGCAGTCTGCCGGAATTCTATTTAAAACGTTCTAACATCAATAATAATATACAATATATAAAGAATAGGATCTTCGATAGGTGTTACAAACTTCTTAGCAAACTCAATATACTTACCTTGTTGAGCATACAATTACTAGAAATATATTGTGTTTTACAAAGGGAAATAGGTTTAAACTTGGACTATAATAGTATTGAAGAAGTTAGCTACGGACGAGCTCTAATTCGAAATGGTGGAACACGAAGTATGCAAACGCGAAAATTCACAAATACACTTTTTTTTAATTCTTAATTATATGATTGATATCAAATAGTTGGAATAGATTTTTCAGTTTATGGTGTTATTTTTCAGATACATGTTAAAATTAGTTGCAAAGTTTTTGACAATAAGCGTATTTTAGTTGTATGACAACAAAGCATTCTTGCATGTTTTAGTTGGATTTTAAATGCTTGGAACATATTTAGTCGTTTCATTGCTTAACCGTTCGGAGATTTTAACATGGCAAGAACTATAAACACTTTTGATGCCTTTTAGCCATTTCATAGAGAAACCACCCGTTGTAACAATCAGCAAAGTCGTTACAAATATTTACTTATCCAAGTTATTCTCAATCAAATGAGTTGGATGACTCACTTTAATTAATACTTCTTCAAGATAATAATGGGAAAAATAATGTTCTACGGTCTATGCCGATTGTATTGACCGCAGCTACGCTGTATCCGATGGTTCTATTTTCATTCACTTTTTAAAAGAAAGTGGTGATTGGTACTAAGGTAAGACAAAAAAACTGACCTCTCAAATTATAGGTTAGAATGACTTACATATACTCGTATACCCGAAAAATAAATATCATTGCAAAACAGAATTTTAGCATAATTTGTTGAGCATTCAAAATTTCCATTTAAAATAACACTTAAAAACTTTTTCACAAAAATACCGCTGAGGCAGGTTCTTTTAAGAAATTTAAAGTCTACATGATTTGCAAAATTTGTTTTTACTTCACCCTAAAATAGGCTCTTTTTTTAAAATACGAACATACAAAAATATATGTAGTGTATAAGTTACGTGAAGGCAAGAGATTTAATAATCTTAGTTTCAGTGAGATATTAGTATGTCGAAATAGATTTTAATTCCACTGGGTGGTTCATAAGCTCGAACTCGAAACTGACAAAATCAAAGATATTGGAAGTCATATTCACGGAATGGTCACCGTGCGGCAAGCAAAATTTAAGCGAGTGCTTTTCACACACTAAGATTCTCAAATCATGAATAGGCTAACAGAAGCCGCCATTTGTAGGCAGAAAACTTTATTAAAGCAAATACTTGTACAGTCGTTGAACGTCACTCTCTAACTTGCCGGACAACCAATTAATTCTACATCACATTTACGACTAAGAGGTGACAAAGAAAGGTGAATTTAACAATAAAAGTGTAAGCATATTTATAATCGGTGTTGACGCATTTATTTACGATGAGTTTATTAAAGCGACAAACTAACGAACTGTCAACTTGACAGCTGCGACGTTTACGTAACTAATTGAAACGTGTATTGAGTGCATTGCCACGGTCGGCTTAAACGAAATGGACTGAGTAGACTTACAAAATATCTTAAGGTAAGGGAAAAAGACGCTGTGACTTGTGACAGACCGTTACAGCTTACCAATGCACGCACACACATACATACACATTTTCCATAAGCCGCACAACAAAATCGCGCACAATAAATAGCTATTCGTTTGTAAGAAAGTAAAAGTAAGTTAATCGGTTGAGCAGAGCCAAAGCAGAAGCCAAAGCGAATTGGAAATGTTTTAAATAAAATAGTACTTTCTTATTAACTTTTACGCATGCATGTACATACGTACATATGTAAATTTTAAACTACAAGTGGCACCAAGTGTACCATTTCACTAGAGTTTTAGGCGCTTAACGAATTTATTGGCGTTTTTAAGCGATTTTGAAATTTTTATTTTGTGGTGTGAGCTTTTTGTAACTCTATATATTTATGTATATATACATTTACACATATGTGTATGTATGTATTTATGTTTAAACTACCTCCCCATAAAATTGTAAATTATTATGCGCAATCAAAGTGTCTTGGCCCGAGCTTGCCGTGCCGCGCTCAAGCTCGATGCAGATTTTCGTCAGGTTGTCAATGAACTTTAGCCGCTTGTGTCACAAACCTGATACCAGTTGTTGTACATAATATATGTATGTATGTATGTATGTATGCTTACACGCATTCACCATTCGGCCAATGGCTAGCCGTAGCATCGCCATTAGTCGGAGCGTGCGGCATCTGTTTTGGTTTTATGTACAAACATACACAGAAACTCTATATGTGTTGGCATTGCCTATCTGCTTGTATGCATGTGTATGTATAGTGATAGTGATAGTATAGCATTTTTAGTTATAATGTTTACTTTTGTTTTGTGAATGCTCGCTGATTTCACTTTGCCGTGAATGGCTTTTGTAACAGCTCAATTGTAGCTAATGAAATCGAAAGCCACAATAGCATAGATCTGAGACGATCACCCAAATGCGTTTGCTGTAGCGCTTAGAAATAGCATACATACATATACACATTATTTCGAATATACTATACATAACCGTATGTATACTTATATCATGACCAGTTATATACCCTGTTTGCCACGAAATTTGTACACTTAGAAGGAAACGTCGGAGACGCTGTCTGTCCGTCTGTATATACGTGACTAGTCCCTCAGTTCTTGAGGTATCGACCTAAAATTTTGCACGTCCTTTCTCAACAAAAGCTGCTTATTTATCGGAATGCTGATGTGTGACCACTTAAGCATATAGCTGCCATACAAACTGACCGATCAAAATCAAGTCCTT